GACTGTGAGACTAAAACACTGCCTGAAGCTCTGGGGAATCAACACCTACGAGCATTAGGCATCATATGACATCTCTGTCTTCCATTTCTCTGATTTTCATTTTAGTCTTTTTTAAAAATATTTTATTTATTATTTTTATTTTATGTGTATTCGTGTATTGCCTGCACGCACCCATGTCATACAATGCTCGCCGAGGACAGAAGAGGCTGTCAGATCCCCTGGAACTGGAGTTATGGGCAGTTGTTAACTGCCATGTGGGTGCTGGGATTCGAACCTGGGTCCTCTGCAAGAACAGTCAGTGTTCTTAACCACTGAGCCATCTCTCTAGCCCCTCATTTTAGTCTTTATACCACAGTTTACCTTTTAATTCCAGTGATTGTATTATCATTTCTGTAAGTTATTTTATAAATTTGTATTTTTTCAAATGTCTCATCCTCTCAGTATAGTTTTAATAACTAAATGCATTCACAGTATCCTTAATTTTGTACATTGTGCACAATCGTGGGCTTTGACTTTCTTGCTGTTCTCGTGGTTGACTTAGAGTTTTTTTTTTTTTTTTTAATCATGAATTTAGGTTCAACAGCATTTCCTCCCTTGAACCCTGTAGATGTTTGGCATGACTGAAACTGGGGTAGTGTCCTGTAGGGGAATGTTTTGCAAGCTTCTGAATGAACGGTATGGATTTTGATAATCCAGGACTAAATATCACATTAGCTTTTCTGCTTTTGATTCAATGTCATGTCACAATATAAATTTGAGGTTTCAACTTCTCATCTTTTACTTTTTTTTACTGAAGTTAACAAAAGCATACACTTCTTTATTTCTTTGGTGGGCTACTGAACAGTCAATTTAGTCCACCTTTCAAAGATTTTCATTAGTAGGGAGGGAGCTCTGGTTCCAAAATCCCAGTCCTTCAGAGTTTGAGTTTTGTGGGTGTCTTTTTTTTTAAGTAGTCCTTGTATTTCGCCTAATTTCTTTATGTATATATTTTTAATTTTTTTAGAAGAAGCATTTCATTACAGCTTTAGCATACTCAATAACAGTTTCCAGAGCAAAGATACATCTCTTTCAAAACTGGCTATAAAATTGTTAGGTTCACTGTTGAATTAATACAGTTACACAATATTGAACTCAATATAAGCCCTGTAAGACATAAAATTGAATGAGTTTTTAACCTTTAAAAAAGATCTCCATTTCATTTTAGAATATATTGTTCACTGGGGACCTGCTGGGGGTGCTGACAACACAGTGGACAGTAACAGGGATGACAGAGTATATGGGCTCCAGTGGGGGGGGCGCTATGGGAGGGTGCCATTTGGGAAGTGGTTATATAGATGAATAAGAGTGTTTGGGATGTTCTGTGTGATGTACACACACACACAAAAATCAACAAATTTTTAAAAATGAATTATATATTAGGAGGAAGCATAAAAATTTATGTCATGTTAATTAGTAGAGGTGATAAACATTACCACTGAAATCTACCCAATGACTTTATAGACATACACAGGTGCCAAGGATCCAAGTAAGGATCCAAGTGCAACCGATTATGACTAGTAATAATCAGATGAATACAGATTAGAGATGCATGCACCAACATCTCAGTGTTAGTAGCAAAAACAATGAGTCTTTCTGTAAGAAACAGTATATTTTAAAATGATTTTTGTGGGTTTTTGAGATAGAATTTTGCTCATAGGCAAGGCTAGCCTTGAGCTTTCTGATCATTCAGTCTCAGCCTCCTGAGTGCCAGGATTGGAGGGGGTACACTTCCATGCCTGCGTCAGGCATTTTGATTCTTTCTAAATAGAATTCCTCATGCTAGCTCTGTTTGTAAACATAGGAAACCTTCATTCTGTAGACTAAAGACTGAAAATTTTCATCACCAGTGGCCCACATTGCTTCACTGCATGGAACAGAGCACTAGGCTCATGTCTAATTCTGGCCACTCAACAGCTCTCTGATTTGGGGAAATTTAATCTCATGGATGTCTCAGTTTTTCAATTAGAGAATAACAGTGAAAAGTAAGTGATTAAGGTGTATGAAAAGCTTACTGCTAAGTCTTCAGTTATTGCTCATGGGGCTCATCTTGCTCTCATCTAACACCCCTCCCCCATCTTATCCCATCCCATCCCCTGAATCTCTACCTCCTTTGGTCACTTGTTGGGGACCTCTGTTGTGTAAAGTAGAAGTTTCTCCATGTCCGGATAGCTCACAAGCTTGGAGCCATATGAAGAGACTCCTTTCACAGCAGGGTGCCTTCCCGGCATTTTTCCTGACTCCTTTGTGAAGTAGCAGCCACAGGAATGTAGCCTCCGGCTCTGTAACTATTAGGCTTTCCTGTGTGATTTTCAAGCAGTTTGGCAGCCTGGCGGGAGCCCATTTCCACATGCAAATGAGGCATCCCCAAAGTACCTATCAGCTAAAGCTTTAACCACTGCCCCTGCAGTATAAAAATATCCTAGTCTTCTCTCAATAATTTGGAGCTAGAAGCGGAGCTGGAGCTAGAGCAGGAACTGGGTCACTGAGACTTGGAATAAAGAGCTGTATCACTGAATCTGACTGAGCTGAGTCTGTGTCTCCTGCCTGCAATCTAGTCTCCTCAGGGTGCAGCATTCCTCCGTCACCAGCTCACAGATCCCAGCTTCAGCCGCCTCGTACTTTCCCGTGTGTTCTAGCGGCCGGTGGAACTCACATATTGAGGAAAGTACACTGGTAGAAGACTCAGGGAAGCAGCAGAGAAGCAGAGACCCGCTGCCACAACAGAGACGCGGAGCCGCCGTGCTGCGAGACCTTCAGCACCTCAGCGGTGGACAGCGACGCGGGACGTGGCCAGGCCCGCCATGCCGCTTCCAGGGCACGCAGAGAGCCCCGCGCGCCCCATAGTCACTCATGTTTCGGAAATTGGCCCTAAATTGTAAGAATATTTAAAATATTTAAACATCCAGTTGGAGTACTGAAGAAGTCCATTTATATCTCTTCTCTACCTGATCAGTTATAGTTTAGAAGTTAAACTTCCTTAGAAAAGACAGTTTCGGGAAGCTGGAGAGATGGCTCAGTGGTTAAGAGTACATAATGTTCTTACAGAGGATCCTAGTTGGATTCCTAGCACCCACATCTGGAAGCTCACAATTGCCTGTAATTCCATCTCCAGAGAATCTGGAGCCTTCTTTGGGCTCACATGCACATACCCCCACGCAGAGACATATGCATACATCTCATTAAAAAAAAAATCTTAAAAAAAAGTAAAAGAAAAAAAATTTTTTTTGCAGTAGTGTAAGTCCATCCCTGAAATTTGTTGGCTGGCCACTCAAGGCAGCAGAGTTGAGAGGTGAGACTTTGGAAGGTGACAAGGTTTTGAGGGTTCTGCCTGCATTAATGGAGGGATCCACTCATGGCTGAAGTGAGGAATGGGCTCTCTGAGGAGTGGTTCTGTGAAGCTGTGCTCGCTGCCCTGAGTAGAAGGAGCACAAAGGCTCTTGCCTACACTGTGCCCTTGCATGTCCAGCCTCCAGAACCGTGAGCCAAAATAAACTTCTTTCCATAGGAGTTACACAGGTGTAGATGCTCTGTTACAGCAATTTTTAAGAAGTCTGTCTTTTGCTTACCTTTGGCTTTGGATTCCCAGCCACTCGACATGTGAAGGTCACGGGCATCCCCTCAAAGATCTTGTAATGCTTCAGTTTCATCTCAAAGAAGGGCGCTACTGCATTTTCCATAGGCACGTCCCCGTACTGGACCTCATCCCCTGATTCATCCACAGGGGACCGCTCCAGCCTGTACTCGATCTCACTTATGAGTCTCTGTTCACAGCTGGAGACTTTGTATTCCTAGGCCAGACACGAAAGGTCCAAGTTAGCAGATTCTGAGACATTGCCTCACCAACAAAGTATTGAAAATGCATTGCACTTTTACCATGGAGCCTAAAACTAAAGTCTGAGCTCAAGTCAGTTCCATCAAAACCAGAAAACATCTAGAAGTGAGTATATATTTCAAATTGACTTCAAGTCTTATTATCCAAAAACAAAACAAAAACCACACATACACTCAAACAAACATCCACTATCTCTCCTGGACTCTTGGAAAGGAATGAGGGGAAAAGTAAAAAAAGAAATCAGAGGTCATCTATTCTAAACTGCTTATAAAAGTGAGACAGAACTGACCTGTGTAGGGTAAACACTGACACAGTGGGAACCCCTACCCCCTGCAAAGGCTACACGTGCACGTGACAAGCCATTGCATGGCATATAGGAGTTTATGAAATGAGTAATAAGGGAAATGGAACCACGCTTTTGTTTCTTCTTAAGCACATAACAAGCACATCTCACAAGGCCCTTCCTAAATTTGTAGCTATTAGAAACTCATCTCTACAAAAGCAAAACAGGACTGATAGTCCAGTCAAAACTTTGGTTAAAAACAAAAGCAAAGCCAAGAACTCATCAAGTTTTCTTGCCTCCAAAGTACAACGAAGACAAGACGGCCTGTTATACATCCCCTATATAATGTTAAACACGAGACTTTTTGTTGTTGTTGTTTTGAGACAGGGTGTGGCCCAGGCTAGCCCCAAGCTCAGCCATCCTCTTGCCTCAGCTTTTTGAGTCCTGGGATTATAGGTGTGAACTACTATGCTTGGCTTGAGAAACAACTGTCTCTTTTTTTTCCTTAAAGAAGTTACTTAACCTTCTGAAACATTTTATTGATTTGAGGAAAGGAATACTACAGTATGAATGAAACTGTCAGCAAAACACCACGGTTGTTTTGTGTCATTTAATTATCAAATTAACCACTTTAAAGATTAGCACTCCCAAAGGTATCTAACAAATGAACAAAATTTTCATGGTTTAAAGTTTAGAGTTACATATGGATGCCAGCATTAAAGTCAACTTTGTAGGTGAATGACAAGAAAAGTCATATTGTAGTAAATATGTTCATGTAATATTACATGAGAACTTGATACCAATCATAGAGTTTATAATGACCATGTATTTATAATTACCATACAGCAGTGAAGACAGACACACAGAGAAGAAAGGAAGCACAGAAGAAGGTACAGTGGGAGACTGGACAGAAAAGAAAGGTGGAGAGCTTAACCTTTTGGCCATCCAGAGGACTCCCTACAGAAGCATGAAGAGACCCAATGTCCTGTAACGGCAGAAAAAAAGAAGTGAAAGCTGGCAACAGGAACGATCAGATGCAGCAAGCTGTCTATTTCCTTTGAGCGAAATGTTTGTGGCAGCAGTGTTTAGCACGATGGAATGTCTATACTATGAAAGGACAGACTACCTCAAAAGACAGAAGGAAGCGTTCACTTGATCCTTTAGACTTGCTTTAAAATTTTTTGGTTTTGTTTCAGCTTGACATTTTATCTAGAAACTCTGATCAGAAGTAATAGAGATTGTAAAGCAGCTTATATCAGATCTACACAATGATCTTTTTTGGCAGTATCAGGGGATAAAAATAGCACCTGAGGTCTTTTGTTGATTAGTGTTTTATGGTTAGATATACAAAAGAAGACAGAGATGGTCTTTTCTGAGCATGGGGTACTACTTTGCCTGACAGTAAGGATATTATGGGGGATATGTATTAGCTTACTTCAAATATCATGAGTGAAAATGTGGTTTGCTATACAAAACTGTTTTGCATTAAAGCACAGGGCAGTTTGAGAAAGATAAGATACTGGAAAGGAAAATAAACTAATCAATACTTGCGATCACTCATGGAGGCAATTCTATTAATCACAATATAGTGTCAGGTAGATGGTATCTGCTCAATAAATACTACCTGTGAGGTCCGTGGATGTCATCAATACTGCTCTTCTGCCACTTGCCCTCTACTTTTCACAAAATTGATTCCAAGAACAGTCCATAAAGAGTATGGGGAGAGTGGATAGAATAACGATTGTTCCCCGAGAGGTTCAGAACAGCATGGTACCTGGTTAGCTGTTTCTTCTTCTGGTTCCTGGATATTAAAGACATTTGCACTGTCAGCACCTAGAAGTCGACGAGCCATTCTTTCTTCATATGTTAGCCTCTGAGGAAAATAAGTCACAAAAGACACAAAATTAGAGTGTGTGTGTGTGGGGGGGGAATCACAGTTATGTATTACCTATGAAAAAAATAGTAGAAACATAAAATGAGTTCTGACATTTTCCTCTCTTCAGCCTCACAGCTGTGTCCAAAAGGACTATTTCTTTCCCTGGCTTCATTCAGTATGCCTTCTTCTCTTACTTCTGGTCCTCACAAACTAATCCAGGACTGGGAGATGAGATAACTAATCCTGGCAGTTGCCACCTGATATGACATAAATCCACATGGTAAGTGACCAGGAAAGATATGTCATCCTTGCCCTTACCTTATTTAAATAGCAAAATATGACTTAAAAGAGATGTTATTTTCAAAGACATTCATAGGCTTCAGTTCCAAGACTGACAGAGAAAGAAAGTGACTCAAAGGATCACAACGAAGTTGAAAAACAATAGGTATCCCTGACAGAAATAATCCTTCTAGCTAGTGAACTGCACATCTGGTGCATAGAATACGCTCAATAAATATTAGCATGTGACAGTTTAAACCAGTTTTACCTCAAGAATACTTCCTAGGCTGCTGTGTAATATGCGTGAAATGAGGTGGATATAATCCACAAAGAATGACTGTACTCAGAAGAAGAAGGAACAAGACTGAGAGATACTTGCCAAGGCCAGTACACATAGGTCTTACTACTCAGACGCACACTGCTTGCCCATTGGGAAGAGGGCGACAGTGTTGCTGCAGCTAGCTAGAGTCTGGCTGGCTGGATTCTGCCAATACCACTTTGCTAGGGCATTCTTAGGCATAACAGGTACCAGCATTTTTGTTCTTTGTTGGGGATGATTCTTGTACTTGAGTGTTGGTTCTAAGCACCCCAGAGTTATGGATCTTGGAGGAACTTTCAGAGTCCACCTGCCATTAGGGGAATCTTACAAACAAGTATTTGATTAGAAATAAGGAATGATTAGTAGGACAGAAGCTTAAAAAGGGGCAATTTTTACGTTTTGGTTGTTAGCCTTAGCCTTTAACGGCTGCGTTATCCCTCCAGCCCAGATCTTTTTTAAAGGTTAAAAACTCATCCAATTTTATGTCTTACAGGGTTTATACTGAGTTCAATATTGTATAACTATATTAATTCAACTGTGAACCTAAAAATTTTATAGACAGT